TGCTTGAGTCTATACCCAGGGTCTTTGTTTCCTTCCTCGATCATGGTCTTTTCTCAGTGTGGATGGCTGTGCTGACCAAACTGAAGTTAGCACAAATCTCTCTCTCTGCTGTAGTCCCCTGGCGTAGATACGTCTGTAACAACTGAGGGTCACGAAAGAACCCTGCTGGCTTCCATGCAAGGTGAGAGGGAGAAGAATCTAGGCTGGAAGTTAAGATTTTTTGCTTAATGTACTATTGTACGTGTTTTTGGAAGGCCTGTTAGGGATATGCATCTACTTGAGGGCTGCTTAGTAGCAAACTTCTGAGCAGATTTTCTTGCGGAGAGACGGAGCGAATGAGCTGGACCCCCTGGTTCTTTTTGTTACTTTGCGGAGCTCAGCTTTGCAAGAGGTGTGTATGTGATCGGATGGTAGGGAAGGATGCAGTGGAAACTTTGGAGCCAGAATCCATTCTTTCATTTGCACTCCTGATGCGGTTGGGGTGTAGTGCTTTCAGGAATGTCGTGACAGTTAATAGCATTTGGGGGAAGGACTCTCCTTCCCTGAGTGCCTCTCGCACCAGAAGGTGGCGCTTTGCTCCAAGCAAAAGGACTGTCAGCTTGGGTTGGGGGGGGGGATTTCTTTTGTGCAGGAGGGGATGCATTCCCAGTGCTATGGTAGCTTGTGACATGAGGGGACTGGGGAGAAATTACCATTCATTATAGGTTTTTTGCTCCAGGCAGGGACGAAGGCAGAATTTGAAATGTGCTTAAACATGGTAACTAATAGCAGAGGGTTGCCTGCTAAAATCAAAATTAGCTCACTAGTTTTCTTGCTCCCCCATCTTTCACTCCAGCATACAAAATGTATCAAAACTGCATTTTTTTAAATAACACATTTCAGAAACGGACCCCATGTGTCTATACACACATGCACTCAAGATGTGATCCAAGGAAGGTGGACCACTGAATGGGAAAGTGGGGAATATGATGGTTTCTCAAGGTCCTTTTCTAGCCCAGTTCACTCTGGCTTTTGTGAAGCTGGAGCACTGTGGGGCAGAGCAAAGGAGCCTCATTGCTGAGTTTGCTAATGGAATTGCTTTGTGGAAATCAGTGGTGTTGCTCTCAAACAGCTGAAAGACTGCAGCTGACTTGGCTGCTCGGGCAGCACTGTGGGTATTGCAGAGATACTAGAATACAGAAGAAGATGGGATCCCCTTTCCTTTCTTTACCTTATGCTTTTCTCTATCTCCACGGTGCATAAGCACCTCAGTTTTGATCTGTCTGCTTGCACTTGTCTGAGTTCACGTTTCTGTGCACAGCAGCTCTGCAGAGTCTCCCGCTCCATGTTATTCTTCTCTTGCCATCACCATGGGAAGTGTTTTTCTGACCTTGTCTGCATGGCCTTCTACCTTGCTCCCAGTCCAAGCTATAAACAAAGTCCCTCCCTGGCTTATAGTTAGAAGAGGATTTGTGATGCACCTTAAGTTTTTGGTCTCTGGCCTCCCAGCATGTACAGGGGAGAGAAAGCAGGTACAGTCTCCTCCCAGAGATGTAAGGAAGGCCCTCGTGTCCTTTAGCAGTTTCCCTTGGCTGACCTGTCTTGGTGGGGCAGAGGCTGATGTTGAAAAAGCTTTCTCTCTTCTCTCCAGCCAAAGGAAGGTTGTGGCCACCCGGGAGCGTAACAGAAGGAGCTGCAGCTAGTAAAAATAATCCTTGAAAAGCCTTAAGGCTGTTGTCTGCACCACAGCACGTGCCCTGGCTGCGTGGAAGAAGTGGGGCAGGCGTGTTCCAAAGGACAGAGGTTGCAAGACGTTAGAGAGTGCCCTCCTTTGAGATGAAAAGCATGAGCTATAAACTCAGGCAAGCCAGTTTGATCCTCCCGGCCGGGCCCTGGAGTGACTAGGCAGTCGGCCTTCCCTCAGCAGAGCCAGGCCCCAGGTCCCAGCAGTGTTTTGTATTCGCTGTGCATCTCAGCCATCGGGAAGTTAAGGAGATTGTTGCATCGCAGGGCATTCTAAAATTAATGGTCTTGGTTTACAGTAAATCTATACATTTAACAGGTTTATCCCTCAATCAATTAATTCCTGAGGAAGGCTTTCGTCATCTCCAGTGGTGCCAGATCAGGGGTGCAAAGTAGATTTATTTCTATAATGGATCCAATGATAATTATTTCACTATTTGGTGGAGAGAGGGGAGAGATGGGGGTGATTTATGGTGCCTGGCCAGGCAGTTTTTCTCTCCTGGATTGCTCAGCAAGCTCTTTTTCCCTCAGGGCAGGGGGTTTGTTTTATCAGACTTGAGGCTGTTCTCTGGGAATTGCATTTTTAAAATCCACCCTTGTTAATGTTGGAAGCATCAATGTCTTCAAGTACAGATCACTCGTAGTGAGAGGTTCTAGAGTGGTACAGTGCAGGAGCAGGTCTGGCATCTTTCGGGGCAGACATGCGTTGATGGTCCCTGCGTTATCACCTCTGCTGCTGGCTGACGTGGCACCGGGGGAGCTGACCGTCCCTTCTGTGTGCTCACTTTACAAATGGAGTTGGCTGGGCTTCTTTCCCCTTAGACTCTGGGGAGGAAGGTGTTGTCTAAGCTGAAGAACATAATGATTTGAGGTGTGGGTCAGAGAAAGGCTGGCCTCTTCTGCGTTGATTGCTGGCTGTGCAAATGTACCTATCACCTCTCTGAAGGAGGTAGAAGTAACCCAAACGCCCCTCTGGGTTGGAGAGGGCTGAATGCAATTGGCTGTGAGAGGTCCCTCTCGTTCTGACACTGTCATTTCTGACGCGCTGGTCGTTGTTGGCCAAGCTCGTTGTGCCTGAGTGACCTTCCACGCAGTGTCACTGTTTAGACACGGAGCAGGAGCTCTGTAGGTAAGCAGAGAGTAGGTAGCCTGAAATGGAACACCCCTCCTTCCTTGTAGCCCCCGTGTGCCAGCTGCCCACCTTTCTCTGTCAAACCTACTGCTTTAGAGGGACGCTTTACTGCTGGTTCCTGCCTCTTTTCCTCACATACCTACCCCTGTTGGGATCCAAAAGTGCCAAACACAAAACAGCATCAGTGATGAGCTTCACTTACAAAGCTCTTGTTTTGTAGCCCTTTCTCCCTCTGCTTCCCTACCCTTATTGCTTTGATTTCGTTACCTTGGTTAGCTCAGTCTGCACTTCCCCCAAATGCTGCTCACTCACATAGCTAGCTGGTACTCCAGTCAAACTGTCTCTAGATTAGTTTTCCTCAACTTTAAAATCCATGTATAAAGTCTTCTGAAACAATGTAATTATGACCACAAGATAGTATCATGGCAGAGTACATGCTACTTAATTGCAAGTTCATCCCTCACTTTTGTGCCCAAAGACAGGCAATAGGGAAGACACTGTAGGCCTGGAGTACTATGTTCTCATGATAATAGGGGTTATTTCACACGGCAGTCACT